TATTCATATATAATGTTTATATATTTATCCTAAATCACGTTTAAAAATCTCAAGGACGTCGGTTTCTTCAGTCTGAATATTTTAGTAGCGCAAAATGTATTGAAGTCACGTGTGTCTGATATCGTACTTTTGGTACTTAACAGTTCTTTCCCTTGAGACTGGAACTTTAACTATATCTTAGAAACAGAAAACCGAGTTTTGAACACGGAGTTTTTGAGATTATATTATTGAGAATATTGATAACTAAGATTTTTGCGTGGTTCCGAGCCCAGAATTTTACAGCGTTTTATTTTTAGATATTTTTTGATTATGATGCCAAATATGTTTACTTAAAGTTTGTGTTTGTCTCATGTTTAACTTTTAAGGTTATTCTTGAAAAAATATGAAAGTTATAAATACGTTTTAACGGATAAATGTACGACAAAAACAATATTAAATTGAACTATACTTACACAGAAATTTCACCAAAAGTGCAGGCTGATTCATTAGGTGTACATGTCCCTTTTTGATTTATATACTATGTATCTGTACTGAACAGTGTACAGCAGTGTACTGTAAATTCAAAACATTTGGCTTCTTGGAGACTTTAAAGGTACAAATACAGTCCAAATACCTTGCAAGTACTGCTTTATCTCTCCTTCAAACATAACTAGCACAAAAAAACAGCAAATAAATTTTTCTATGCTCTTCATTCTTCAGTTTCAGATGTAAAAGTTTTATAGCTCTGAGTTCTAGGGGGGGGATACGCCCCCTCTTTACAGGTCTAGGTGGGCACTGCCCCCTTCCCCCCCTCTGTTCACGCACTTGGTGTACAGCTTGCTCTAGCTGATTCAAATATAGTGTAAACTTTTATAATAGTCTTTAAAATGATCAAAGCAAATGGTTTAAAAAATAGTCAAATTGTTGATATTTACTTGATTTTGGTAGCTCTGAGTCCGACTTATATTTTTCTGTGGATGTAAAATAATTGCTTTTAAATCTATACAATACACATCGCTTTGTAACCATAAATATATATTCTTAAGAATAATATCATATAAGCAGCATTGTATATCTGTCATATTAATTTTGTCTATGATAATAAAACAAAAATATTTTTAAAAATCTTGGAACAATTATTTTTATTCATCTTTTAACCACTGGTTATTTTCAAAATATAATTTTTTAGTGGCTTTTTAAAATAATAATTGTTAGGAAAAATTTCAATTCATTCTACATTTGTGTACATTTTTATTTGCAGTGAACAGTGTACTGTTTACAGTGATGATCAGAAAAGAGCACAATGACCGTCTTCTTAGTTAAATCTTTTGCTGAGAATTTTGCAATTTTTGTCTATTTTATCTCTGTTATTGTGCCCTGAGATCGGAAATTTGTCTGGATATTGTTAATCTAAATGCTTGATCTTGATAACCAATGCGGACACTTTCAAATTTAAGTATCAATGCTTGAAACCTGAATTTAAGTTATCACTGCCGGGTAGGACCATATAACGGGATATTAAAATGGAATTAAATTGATCTGTTGTTCTCCATAAGTTGGAGATCAATCCTTTATCCCTTGATCCTGTGATTAACAACACAAAACTTGTCAGTTTTAAGAATATCTAGAGATATTTAAATTAAATCAGTTCCAAAAAAATCTTTGGCGACTTTTCAGATGAAAAAATTTGACTAGGTGGACTTTCGTCATTCCACTTAACTGATATCACTGTATGTTCTCTCTGTGCAGTGCATATACACTGTACAATTTACATGATTAAAAACATATTATTTATGATTGCCAAAGGCAAGACAATGACAATGTACACGTAGTGCAACTCATCAATTGGGTTGTGAGCCTAGAGTTTATGAAATTATAGATACACCACTATCATAATTTTTCAGAGAGTAAACGAAGATATCTCAATCAAGAATTCTAGAACAAAAGTAACATTGTACATGGTTGTTAACATCTGTCTTAAGAAAGTCCTTAGATTAAATGATGAAACTAATCCTAAACTCAGTAGTTTAAATTCCCAACTCAGGCTTTCTCTGTAGTTGTGGCGTAGTAACTCTTAAAAACAGGATTTCGGGCTTGCATAAGTTTCAATCACGTGATCTTATATAACAAATATGCAGTCAAAAAATACCATTTATTTTCATTTTCCCCCTCTTTAATAAAATCATGAAACCGTTTAAATAGAATATATGTAAATTTAAAAGATATTTCATAAATTTTTATTTGAAGTTAAATATTATGATTTAACTATTTTTTTCTAGCGATTAAACGGAATTTTTATGACGGAAACATTTTAAATTTTATGTTTTTTTCTTGTTATTTGTCTAAACATTTTCCTTGTCCATTTTGAAAGGGTTTCTCCTGCAAGCAGTGCACAAATCTTTCTATTTACGCTGCAAAAGAAAAAACAGGATTTCTGAAGGATAGGTCATTTTTAATTTTAATTTTGTAGATTTGTTATTTTGTAATTTATTGCTCGTCAAATGTTTAAAATAAAAAATTCTTTTATTTGAAAGAAAAAATATTTTGATCTTGGGGTGGAGTATGGGGGGGGGGAAGAAAGGGCCTGGCACATAGATTACGAAACCGAAAGATGTAGATAGATAGTGAGTTAAAGTAGGGTTAGTTAGTTAAACTCAGAAACCCGTTCAACTACATTCTACTTTCTACTTCGCCACAGTTTGCACAGTAGTTTGTACAGTATATCATACATTGTACATAGTTGTACATGTACATAGAGGATATAAGTTCACTTCCTGTTAGACAAGTCACCATGCCCGGCCGGAAAGAGACAAAAGAAAGGTTAAAATTAAATTTTTTTAAGCCAGGAAGTACAAATTACTGTAAGCATATATTCACATATAAATTCTAAAAAACATAAGAAATACAATAAACTTAGCATCTCTTTGAGATTAATATTAATAGATTTCTCAAATAAAAAAAAACCTTTTCCTCGTTAAATTTTGTCATAGTTCCTTTCCATAAACATTCCCTGGGGTCATGTGAGTTGCCACAACACATTTTGACCTGATCCAATCAGCGTTTTGACGTTTATTGGATACAAACAAACAGACAGACAATATACATAATGAAGCTAAAGTCTTAAATCGTATAAAACAGACTAGAGGGTAAGAATGAGTTAAAATAATGTTTTCCTTAAAGGGAAAGTAAACAATATTTTAACTATTCCCTTGTGGTAGAGAGTTTCGACTACAAAAACAACCATATTATTTTATAACAAAGAAAACAATATTGATATTTTGTTTCTGTCCATCCAATATCACTGGATAAACGTGTAGGATGAAAATGATAAGCGTGTAGGATGGAAATGATAAACGTGTAGGATGAAAATGATAAACGTGTAGGATGAAAATGATAAACGTGTAGGATGGAAATGATAAACGTGTAGGATGGAAATGATAAACTAGTATGATGGAAATGATAAACGTGTTAAAACTTGTTTTAAATAAATCCTTCCTTCAAAATACTATATTTACATACGTTTATATAAATACTGAACCTCAGCTGAAAACTTTAGAATGGTGCACTTTGAGATGATTGCTTGATCCTCTCGTTTTCATAATATCGAGACTAACCTAATCTTGTACTTGTATCTTGAAAAGTATATAAAATTCAACCAATCAGAGTCGCGTATATGAAGCCGATAAAATTGAAATTTTGCGCGCAATTTAAGATTATATACAGAAACGGGAGGGACTCTCTAAATTAAAAAATCCGGGTTTTATTTTTGTCTCTATACAATATCCAAGAAAGAACGGTTTAAGAAGAAAATCAAAAGTGTGTACTCAGATACTCAGATTAAGTAATCAGAATTAAGGATATCTCATTCTAAAGTTTTCAGCTCTGATATTTCAGATATACAAATACTGTTTCTTAACTATTAATATCACTTTTGCTAGAAATTCAGGAGAAAAGTTTTTGGAAAAAACAACTGAAAAAAATGTCACTGGAATCTAAGTCATGGGGTTTTGGATTCAAAACAGCAAAGAAGATTTATTTAATTCATGAATAGCACGAAAGAGATAATTTTAAGAGTTTACAACAACTCCCTTTAAATCTTTAACTGAGTAACAATCTTCTCCATCTTAAAAAGAAAGATAATTAGATATATATATAGTCAATTTTTTCACAAGCCATGATGCTACAGAAAACCCGTACTTAAAAATTAATAGTTTTTAGAAAGAAAACTAATTGTATCTTTATCATGTATTTCTGAATGCTCAACGGGTCTGGTTTGTGAATCGGATATGGACCTCTAATTCAAGAATCACTTGAAATGACGTTAACAGTCCCTTCAAATTTCTTAACATGACTGTCTTAACTTGGACTAACCAGAGTGAGCAGCATTCGGTTTCTTCTATTTGAAATCAAACATGTTTTGGTCTATAATTCAACTTTATCATCTTTTCATGGAGGGTTACTTGTAATTACGCTCACAGTCCCTTTAAATTTATTAAATTGTAGGAAACGTCTGTACTCGTGGTCCCGTCCTACCAGGGAGATGAGATCTCGAGGTCAGATGTCAAACGTCATGCAATCAGAGATTACTATTGAGGGAGAAGCAACCATAGCATTTCATCCATCTGGTCTTTGGTTCCAGGTGTGTATTGTGTATTTTTTGAACATTTCTTTTCAATATCTGCTTGCATATAGGCGGGCATCGTTTTGGTGATCGAACGACATTTTTATAGAACGATGGTGTCATTTATGAGAAAGGGAAAAACAATTTTTTTAAATCAAACGAAAAAAACAACTGGTTTAAAATCTTTTGAAAGAACTTGAAAAAACGATTGTTTTTTTTTACTGAATAAACAATTTTGTCAAACAAACTTTTGAAAAAACGACAGTTTCTTTATTGAAAGAACAATTTTACTGAACAATCGTTCAACAACATATGAACGAAATGGATAGAAAATATTTTTTGAACGATTGAAAAAAAATAATTGGTCGGAAACAGACTTTAAACCTTGAATATTTAGGAGTCCATCTCTGACAGTCTGGACGAGGACCTGGTCCAGGCCACCATGGATAGATTGGAGCTAGAGCTGGGCGGGGAGATTCTCTTCGATATGAACCTATTCGATTATGAAACTGGCTTGAATCATAAGATTAAGGTGAGGCTAATACTAAAACATTTTAGATTTTTTTAATTGAATCAGAAAATGTTCAACTAAATATCTTGTAAAAATGTACTTTGTGCTATTCACTTTGTACTCTGTAAAACGCTTTAGGCTTTTTTTTGTTCTGAGTTCTATTTAAAATGTACACTACTGCAAGTGCAATACCATACTATAATGGTAATTATTACATTTTGGGTAATTTGTTCTGTGAACTTTGCGCAATGCAATGCAATATATGCTGAGCATTGTGCAGCAGGATGGTTTAAGTGACAAGCGTACTTGAAAATTGTGTACTCTTAAATATGTATTATCAGGATGCTGTAAGTGTATTGAGCATTGTGTACTTAAAATCATGTATTATCAGGATACTGTCAGTGTACTTAAGCAGTGTATTCTGAATTTTGTATTATCAGGATGCTGTAAGTGTACTTGAGCAGTATGTACTCTACAATATGTATTATCAGGTTGCTGTATGTGTACTTGAGCAGTTTGTACTCTATATATTATGTATTATCAGGATGCTGTAAGTGTACTTGAGCAGTATGTACTCTATATATTATGTACTATCAGGATGCTGTAAGTGTACTTGAAGAAGAAAGTTTGAGATTTGAGCATAACAATCTACAGTTCCAGTCAACTTCAACAATAAGGGAGAAATGATAACTTTTAGGTTTTTAATTTCCTTTCTCATTAAATAAACAACTTTAAATACCAATACAGGGCTACCCATAAAGTATAAAACTTAAGTTCTATGTATCCTGTCTTTCTTTGCCAAATTATACAATATTTAAGGCTGAAAACCAAACCAAATATAACGTTTAAAGAGTTTCAGGTCTTCACTATACAGTCTCATCTTTTATGAGTAACTCAGTAAATTAGATTAAAATTTAAATGAATTTTACAAGTTTCCCAATAAAAAATGAAAAGCGTTGGTAATTTAAACGTCGAGTTTTGAAATTCCCATGCTTATTGGTTCACCCTTTTAAACCTGTTTACAGGTTGACCAATTAATCATTCTATTCCCAACTCTGAGCCTAAGTTGATATTATGTTGAGATTAGAGGGAACAGAGCAGATACAGTAATCTGCACCAACATTGGACCTAGTCTAGTAGAACAGGGGTTTATTGTCTTTAGGTAAATAGAAGATCAATCAATCAATTAATCAATTAAATAATATAGATAAATCAAACAATTTCTTAATCAATCAACCAATTAAGTAATTTTATAAAACCTTGATAAATCAAAGAATTACCTAATCCTTTAACCAATTAATCAATTAAATAATATCTTGATAAATCAAATAATTGCTTAATACACCAATAAACCAAACATTCAAAATGTAGTTAAAAAAAAGTAGAAGTCAATCCATCAATCAATAAGTCGATAAAAAATAAATCAATTTACCAATTACTGAATATTGCAGGGAAGTGTTGAAGATGATATATGAAGATCAATTATTGCATATTGCAGGGGAGGGTTGAAAATGATATATGAAGATCAATTATTGTATGTTGCAGGGGAGGCTTGAAGATGATATATGAAGATCAATTATTGTATGTTGCAGGGGAGGGTTGAAGATGATATATGAAGATCAATTATTGTATGTTGCAGGGGAGGGTTGAAGATGATATATGAAGATCAATTATTGTATGTTGCAGGGGAGGGTTGAAGATGATATATGAAGATCAATTATTGTATGTTGCAGGGGAGGGTTGAAAATGATATATGAAGATCAATTATTGTATGATGCAGGGGAGGCTTGAAGATGATATATGAAGATCAATTATTGTATGTTGCAGGGGAGGGTTGAAGATGATATATGAAGATCAATTATTTTATGTTGCAGGGGAGGGTTGAAGATGATATATGAAGATCAATTATTCTATGTTGTAGGGGAGTGTTGAAGATGATATATAAAGATCAATTATTCTATGTTGCAAGGGAGTGTAGAAGATGATATATGAAGATCAATTATTGTATATTGCAGGGGAGTGTTGAAGATAATATATGAAGATCAATTATTGTATGTTGCAGGGGAGGCTTGAAGATGATATATGAAGATCAACCCTGTTATCCAGTTCCTCTTCAGTCATCACAATGGTGTCTATAAATACATTTATGCATAAAAATAGAAAATAAATTTTTGCTAATGCTCATGCAACTGAAATATGACAAATATTTCCGTATTAAAACTTTCTTCAAGACAGAATACCAAATGTAATCTGTTGATTGCTATGTTTCACAAGTTCAAGGTTGTTATTAAAGTCTTATTTTTTGTGAATAACCCTGAATAGTAAGGGTCTAAAACAAACTTTTAACCCGTCAAATTATTAACAAAACTAAAGCTTTAATCTAAAAGGTGTTTTTAAAGTACGCTGCAGGGTTACCTACAAAGAGCAGAGACGACTGTACGGAATTTTATCAGCTTATTTCCTGATTTTGATGGTGCCCTGTAGCTTTAAATTTGTTGCTTAAATCACCAAGTCATTTAATTTTCAAATTTTCAAATTTTCAGAATTAAAAAAGTTGCAGGTCGTCATTACAATTTCATCCTTTGTAGATAAACCACGTATATATCTTCTGAAAAATTGTTACCAAGGATTTACAATAAAAAATTATTGTACTTTTGCAAGTATATCAATTATTTTTTCTTAAACTGTCCATCTACCCTCACTACCACACACTTTTTAAAAACAATATTTAATGAATAATTTTTCCTTTAATTTTTCCACTACCCTCACTACTATACACTTTTTAAAACTAATATATCAACATTTAACTAATAATTATTCTTTTTAAATTAATTGATTAATTATTTTTTCTTAAACTTCCCACTACCCTCACTACTATACACTTTTTAAAAACAATATTTCAACATTTATTTAATTATTTTTTCTTAAACTTCCCACTACCCTCACTACTATACACTTTTTAAAACCAATATTTCAACATTCAATTAATAATTTTTCTTTTAACTTCCCACTACCCTCACTAGTCACTACCACACACTTTTTAAAAACAATATATCGACATTTATTCAATTTTTTTTTCTTAAATAATTCATTGAAAGATTTAAAATCATCATTGTATTATGTTCCAAAACAGTATCTGCAGACATGTTTTCAACATTTCAATGAATTCTATTTTTAAATGTCGTCTTCAAAATAGAAAATTTGTGGTTCACTGAGCGTTCTATATTAAGTTGGACAGAGTAATGGAACCTTTTAAGTGAAAACATTAACATAACATTAACATGAAAGCAAAGATAGGCTGTAAATTAAAAAGCTTCTGTTTGTTTTACTTAAAAAAAGCGTGTGAGAAAATAGAACTTATAAAAGTCGTCTTCATTGTATTGATATCAAAGCCGACCAATGTCCAAAACAATATTTTACATTTTCGTGGAAACATTAACCTAAAAAATATGTACAGTGGGGACATCAAACTGTAGATAGACGATATCGAATTCGTCACTGCACTCCCATGTTTATTTAAAAACATAACTTGCGTCTAACAGTAGTCTTTCAAATCTAAGTTTTATTGGAATTTAACCCATCATGGGTGAATATTTAATATACATTAGATAAATTCATAAAAATTCAATCTTTTAATATTTTTCATTTTATCTAATTTTTGGAAATTTAACAACGCGAAATCCGCAAAATTTTGTTTCGTTTAAAATATGAATTTATGAATAAATCTTTACGATTTGTGTTTCCTTTATAATAATAATAAACCCTCTGTGAAATAAAAAAGTTATGTGTTTAATAAATAGATAAATTTCTATAAGTCTGTAAAGAGTTGTTTTCCTTTATAATGATCTCTATGAATCTCTAGAAAGTTGTGTTTTCTCAATAACGATATGATCTCTATGAATCTATAAAGAATTGTGTTTTCTTTATAATGATATGATCTCTATGAATCTATACAGAAGTGTTTTCTCTATAATGATATGATCTCTATGAATCTAGGTGAAGTGTTTTCTCTATAATGATATGATCTCTATGAATCTATGAAAAGGTGTATTTCCTCCCTAATGATATGATCTCTATGAATCTATGAAAAGGTGTATTTCCTCTAAAATGATATGATCTCTATAAATCTGTACAGAGCAGTGTTTTCTCTATCATTATATGATCTCAATGAATTTAGAATTAGTTGTTTCCCCCCTAAATGGTTAAGTATTTAGAGAGTAGTGTTCCATGTATTTTTCCAGGTGTTTTGAACATTACGAACAGCTGGGAGAAAACTACAAGATGATGAATTAAAGTAATAAATTATCTTAAACTTGATGACGTACCTAGGTTTGTAGAAAGGGTCATTAAACCACGTCTACAACGGGTACATAAAGTGACTTGATTAATTAATTAATAAGGTGGTCGGTTGTGTACATCTTTGATAACTATGAATTCTATTAGACCAAAAAGCCTAAGTTTGAATTATCAAAGGTTTACACCATCAGGTTTCAAAGAAACAGGGATTAGAAAATTTGAGTTTGTGACAAAAACTCAGTTTCTTAAGACTCACAGACTTTTACATTGAATTCTAGCACTGGGCCGGGGTGCAAAATGCATCCTTAATTCAAGTTTTCCATGTTTTATTCAAGATAAATGGCCGTGCAAGACATTTTTCTTTCTTTGTTGAATAAAACTTCATTCATAAAGAGTTGTTTTAAACCGAGCAAAAGAATAGTTCAAAATATTATTTGTATCAAAAAGCATTATTGAGTCAATAAAACCATAATATTGAAACAATTTAGAAGCATTAAACATTAACATTAATTAAACATTTCTATAATTCTATTATTTTAGGAAAAATATTGTAAAATAAATATTTCTAGTTCTAGTATTCTTAAAAGAAATTGTAAAATAAACATAATTCTAGTTCTAGTATTCCTAGGAGAAAATATTGTAAAATAAACCGGTTTTTGGCGGAATTGAGACGCGGCTCAATTATTCATTAAACGGACTCTGGATGTCAAAATGAATACGCGGGTTTTTTTGTGCCTTTTCTTACTTCCAGGAAAGTAAAGTTTGAACATATAGCGTGGAGAAAACTTTTTAAAAGTTTGAATCTTCTTTCTATTTTTAGAATTAGAACTATACAAATAGAAGTTTAAACTATTTCTTTATTCAAAACTTTAATATTGGCCGCTAACATTGGAGTAGGAGTAGGAGTAGGATTAGGAGTAGGAGAAGGAGAAGGAGTAGGAGTAGGAGTAGGAGTAGGAGTAGGAGTAGGAGTAGGAGTAGGAGTAGGAGTAGGAGTAGGAGTAGGAGTAGGCTGTAAGCATACTTTCGAGTGACCCCCCAGTCAAAGGTGGCCACAACGGTACCCTTGATACCTTTATTGATCCATGATCCACGATGTGAAAAACATTGTCGTAGCTTGAAAATGTTTTTTTTGTGATTTGTGATAAATCCTACACGTTTTCCTACAGATGCGCAAGTCACTTTTTTATAAGAAACCACAATTGAAAATAACTAGTTTTCACTTTTCAAAAATTGTAACCATTTATATTAAATTCATTATACTCTTGATCAAAAAACCCTTTTAATGGTACCGTCGTGAATTGGGCATCATCCCATCTTTGAATGAACGTTCGCTTACAGTTCCTTTTAGCGACACAGAGCAAAAGACCAACCTAGCTCTCATGTCAGATCATTGTAATCTGTATCTGTCTTGTAAGCGAAGAAATGCCCCTAGCTGCATGTATTGCAGACTATACAGTATACAGGTTTCCTTGTCTATGTATAAAAGGACGTGGAGTAGGGTTTGAAAGGTTAGTTCTCCCCCCTCTCTACTCCAAGACCTACCCAGAACAATATGATTAAACACATCCTAACTGTGAGTTTAACAAATAACTGTAAAATGTAATCATTTCAAACTCTTGAAATATTTAGACCACAATTGCAATTGCATGGATAAGAAAAATAAATAAACTAGGGTTTTAGGCGCTTCGCGCCCATCTATTTGAATTGTGAACATGTTCTTTTTGTTTACATTTTAAAACAAAGAAGAAAAAAATTTTGCGGATCTTTTAAAAAGAATTCGCGAATTTTCAAGAATTTATTTTTTTTTACAAAATTAAAAACATTTAAAACACATTTTTAAAATTTTTATCATTCATAAACCTTCCTTGTAGTCACGTGATGTCCCACACAAAATTTGGGCCTGATCGTTTAGCCGTTTTGACGTTTATTGGATATAAACAAAAAAACAGACACCCAAACAGACAGACAAGCCAAATTTGTATATATACTAGGCTTTTAGGGCGCTTCGCGCCCATCTTCTATTTAAATTGTGAACATGTTCTTTTTGTTTACATTTTAAAACAAAGAAGAAAAAAAAATGTCCAGTATCTTCAATGAATAATTGATCAGGTTCTAAACTTCCTACAGATATCAGAGACTAGACTTCCATCAGTTTTGAAACTAAAATTTTATATTTCGGGACTGTTACCGGTTTTACAAAAAAACATTTAATGTTCCAGCAAAGGCAAGGAGAGGGGGGGGGTGTTTACGGCAACGCAGATTATCTGTCAACCGCTGATACACTTTTCAAATACCCTAAGATTAACTAAATCCATTTCTAGAATCTAGCCTGTCTTGTTCTGGTCAAAGGTTAAATATTACACTTAAAGTAAAGTAGGAAACCTGTTTATGTCTTAGTCAACCCCCTTTAATACTCTGAGGTGAAACATACTATAACGGGACAAATTCTGCCAAAAAAAAAATACAGCACATTTTAAATGGATCGTAAACGTATTTCAAGGTTACCCTCTTATTCCTCTTTAGAAAATCGTGTTTTTTCTATTTTAGTTCCGCTTTAAACTAAAAGCAGGAGTCTCTTTAAACTAAAAGCAGCAGTCCCTTTAAACTAAAAGCAGTAGTCCCTTTAAACTAAAAGCAGCAGTCCCTTTAAACTATAAGCAGCAGTCCATTTTAAACTATAAGCAGCAGTCCTTTTAAACTAAAAGCAGCACACTAGACATTCGTCGGCTCTGTTTGAAGCAATCAAATCAAAACCCTCTCCCACTGTGAGTAGAAAACGTTTTAACAAGTTTTATTTCACATTTGATCCTGTTATTGTAGATTTTAAAAGCAATAAATGTAGTTTTCTTCAAACAGCTTGATCTTGTCAGCTTTTAGAAAACAATTTAAACATTTCAAGAATTTAGATTTCAATTTAGTCACAAGTGAAGGATAAAGACAATCTGACAGCCCTGTTCCTTATTTGTTTAAACACGAAAAAAATACAAACATGTTTCATCACAAACTCATATTTTTTATGTTTAACATTCTCAAGTCCTTTTAAAGTCTAAATAACAAAAACTAATTTTTAAATATAATCAAACCTTAGATTTTTAAAGTGATATTCTATGCCCTAAATTTAAGTCAATAAATGGTAATTTGGATTTTAAAAAACGAGTACAGGGTGTCCCACGAAACATGACAGTTGGTAAAGAGTTATGAAAGTCGTCTTTCATATACTTTATTAGATTTTAAAGACTTTTTGCAGTTTATTTCGTTAAATAATCTTTTTCTGAAACATATCTTACTTTGAAACCAATTTTACTAGAACATGACTCCCACGCAATATTTGTATTATTGTCTAATTGATATCAAACAACTTAACAAATTCTGGAAGAAGACATTCTAAACTATTCACCAACTGTCATGTTTCGTGGGACACCCTGTATTCAAACTTTGAAATATCGCATTGCAATTTAGTATGGTTCGCCCTAGGTTTATGCAAACAGTATTGGTGGAGTAATCACAATATTACGCATATTAATAATGAATGTTTGTTTACTGCCTCGAGAGGATTTTGTTTACACAGAGAGTTGAGATTGTACTACGTATATTAGTATCAACCAAACATCAACAAACATACAGAACATTATTCACATTTTCAGGCAGTCCAAAGAAAAATAGGGATTAAGGAAATATTCCAGAGATTTGTGAACGTAAAATGTAATACATGGTCAAATTTATACGACAATATTTGCACAGCTTTGTGATCTCGTAGCTCCTCGAGTTTTGATTTGACGCAGCAGTATAACTCTATATTACAATAGCTCTTCGAAAGGAGAAGTTTTGATTAGAGATTAGAAAATTATGATTTGTGAATTTTCAATTTCTCATAGTCAAATCTAACCTTTACAATGAGAACCAAAAAACTGTGGAATAGGAAGACGACATTAAAGCAATGGTCAAATGTATTTGATATTGTTCCAAAGCAAATAGTTTTGCTTGTGTCTTATTTAATTACTTGTGCAATGAAACCTGTCTGTGATCACGCCGCAATTGCTATGTCACATGTTCATTGGACTATTTAAAGCAATAAATAGAGTCTGGAAGTCGTCTTCCTATTCTAGAGTTTTTTTGGTTCTCACGGTATAAATATCCAGGTTGGTTTGTTGGCTTACAGCTGCCTGGCTGGCCCTCAGTTCCAGGGTGATTCAAGTTTAGCTAAGATACTGCAGGAACAGCGCTTCAACTCAGGAGATGGAAAATTTGGCTCTGCATTTGCGCAGGAGGATGGTCACGTGTTCAAGGAGGAATCACAGGGAAATAATAACAGGTCAGATATTATTTTATTATTAGAACCGGTGCGAGGATTTATCAGCTTAATGTAATCGTATGCACATTTAATCGAACATTCCCCTTCTGGTGAACCCAATCTTTAATAATTCCACCACGTTTTATACAGCAGATCTAGGCTGCATCCATTGGTACATGAAGTACAATTACATGTCATATCGTAATTGATCGAGGGCCGTTTGACTTATTAATCTTTCTGTAAGAATTGGGTAACACTGGATTCTTGTTTTCTCCTCACTGCATTATGCTCAGAGCTGAAAACTTTAGAATGGGATATCCTTAATCCCGATCGCTTAATTAATCTGGATATTAATAACAAGAGGAGAACAAGCATTATTTAATCTGGAGATCAAGAAAAAGAGGAGATCAAGCATTGATCTCGATATCCATAATTCTAAAATTTTCAGCTCAGAGCTCATTTCTATTTGCAGTTAAAGAAAGAAACAGTTATTGTAAGAACACTGTTATTTTACAAAGACAGATTAAAATAAACGTCATACAATATGGAACAGTTTCCTAAATGGACGATATCCTTTTCTTTTTTTAGAGTTGCGTCTTTTTACGGCCAGAACAATGGATTAGATAGCGTCAGTTTTCTATTAGTGAAGCTCTGAAGAAATTATTAAACAAAAATTTATTAATACTTGTCCCTTAAAAGTCCGTAATCAACTTATTGTTTAAATCGTATTTTTATCAGAATCATTCAAAACAGAATATTTTGGTGCTAAAATAAGAAATGTTCTTATATTTTGAAACACTTTTTCTTATAGCTTTTTAGTATCACTTCAAGCTCCGGTTCATTTCACGTACCGGGCCGCTTTTTACCAGCTGTACAGTACAATCACAGACTATATAGGGCAAACCGGGACGGTATGCTAAATTCATATGTTGTTGTATTATAGGATCGGTCAGTACAGCTATATAGGAGATGATGGAAATACCTATTCTTTTAAAGATATTGTTATTTTCTAGGATTGGTCAGTACAGCTATATAGGAGATGATGGAAAGACCTATACTGTAAAGTATAGTGCAGGAGTAGATGGGTTTAGGATCCTAGAGGGAGATCATATTCCAAGCGGAGGACAAACATCAGCTGCTGCTGTCATGGTAGGATCTGATTAAACACTAAACTAAGCTAGTTGGGGCAGGTCAAGATGGGCTACGATAGGCCGGGTACAGTAAAATGGCCTACGATAGGCAGGATACAGTAAAATGGCCTACGATAGGCCGAGTACAGTAAAATGGCCTACGATAGGCTGGGTACAGTAAAATGGCCTACGATAGGCCGAATACAGTAAAATGGCCTAGGATAAGCCGGGTACAGTAAAATGGCCTACGATAGGCCGGGTACAGTAAAATGGCCTATGATAGGCCGGGTACAGTAAAATGGCCTACGATAGGCCGAATACAGTAAAATGGCCTAGGATAAGCCGGGTACAGTAAAATGGCCTACGATAGGCCGGGNTAAAATGGAGGGAGATTTGAAACAAAACTAATCAGTTTTAAAGATAAATTTCTTTAGAATTAGAAGTGCCAGGCAAAATCAATGAATTGATTAAGCGACTAAATAGTATTTACATATAAACTACATAGAAACGTACAAAAAATTTTGATTTTAAATCGTGAAAATTTCGAAGTTCTATCTGAAGACGACATTTACATGGGTCTTTAGTCTATTTTTTCTAGTCTTTACTTTCCAAACGAAATCTTTTCATGAAATTATTTCCAAACCAAATAAAACCTTATGGCCCAACCTGTCGTCGTTTCCTTAGTCTGTTCCACTTTAGTATTTATTCACTTTGGGTACAAGGGGTCCGTCCGGTTCGAATTGAAATTGACCATAGTCTGTAGAGATAACTCGCCTCAAATCATAATTTTTCGTCATAATATCTTTTCAACGAGGTGTCGATATTTTAAACTATAAATTCTGGATTTGGATCAAGTATGAAAAAAAGTTTACACCATCAGGAGTCAGAACTCAGAATCAGATCTCCATGTTATAAAGATCTATGGATTTATTTGATTTAATTATAATGGATTAATCTCGTGATGGTTACACCCTAGGGAAAAGCAATGATCCTAAATTTTTAAACTGTCCAAATTGGATATCCACACAAAAGTCCGGATCTCATGTTTGAAATATTGGATTTTGTAACGAGGAAATTTTCTTTATAATTTGTTATCACTTATTTATGAAGGATTGTAGAATTAGATAATTATAGAAAGGGGGAGCGGAGAACAGGACAAGACAGGAAGAGGGAGGAGCGAGGACAGGACGGGGAGCGGAGGACAGGACAAGACATGAGGGTGGATATAACAGGATATGAGGGAGGGAGGACAGGGTGGTTGTTAGGAAAAGACAATATAGGACAAGATATGCCAGGACAAGATATGCCAGGACAAGACATGCCAGGACAAGATATGCCAGGACAAGACATGCCAGGAAAAGATATGTCAGGACAAGACATGCCAGGACAAGATATGCCAGGACAAGACATGCCAGGACAAGACATGCCAGGACAGGATATGCCAGGACAAGACATGCTAAGACAAGACATGCCAGGACAAGACAGGACAGGACAAGACATGCTAAGACAAGACATGCCAGGACAAGACAGGACAGGAAAAGGCAGGACAGATCCTACGGGTTGTTAGGACAAGACAGGAGGGAAGAATAGGACAGGAGAGGACAGATATAGAGAGTAGTACAGGACAGGTATAGAAGAGAGGACAGGACAGGATATGAGGGTAGGACAGGACAAGAAAAGGGGAGGGCAGGGGATCGGAGGCCAGGCAGGTTTGACGACAAATATAAGTTTGGGAGGTTTCCAGAACGAGAAATGTTTGGAAATGTTTGGCAATGTTTGGCAATATTTGGCAATGTTTGGCAATGTTTGGCAATGTTTGGCAATGTTTGGCAATGTTTGGAAATAGTTTGGAAATGCTTGGCAATGTTTGGCAATGTTTGGAAATGTTTGGCAATGTTTGGCAATGTTTGGAAATGTTTGGAAATGTTTGGAAATGTTTTTTATCGGTTACATTTTTGACTTTTGACATTTTTAACTTCATTCTTAAGTTTAAAAGTGAAGATAAAACAATAAGACTACAGTCATAGCCAGAAAGACCCGGAATTAATTTACAATTAATCAGACGAATTTACAATAGTCTTTTATCTTTAAAATATTTTACGGCATTCAGGTGTCAATCTACAAATATGGCAGACCACATTTTGGAAATGGAGGGACTAGCGCTACTACAGGGTGTCCCACATCAAATTTGACTGCGTCAATGGGTCTGAAAACGATTTGGGGGACAAATCAGAAAAATTGACAAATTTAATAAGGCTATTAGAAAATTGTTTTTGCAGAAAATGCTGTATTTTTCGAGTATTTTATGCGTATTTTGGCGTTAAAGATTGGAGATAATCTAATATGATATGGGACAGAGCGTATGTGATTATCGACATCGTTTCATCAATCATATTTGTAAAATTAGACGAATGCCGTAAACTGTTTCAAACATCAAAGACGATTGTAAAGTCGTCTGATTAATTGTAAATTAATTCCGGGTCTTTCTCCTTATGACTGTAGTATTTAAATTATATAAATTATACAGAGCTAATACTACTCATTATCTATTTATTCATTCATCTAAATATCTGTAAAAAGGTTATGAAAACTACTGTGCAAAAAGTATCTTCTCTTTATCTATTTATTAATGCATCTAAAAATTTGTAAAAAGGTTATGCAAAAATACTGTGCAAAAAGTTCGTGGAAAATTTTTTTCTCAAAATTAAATTTAACTATTTTATATTATTATTATTCTTCTAGGGAGAGAATGGAGAGCTTAAAGAGTATGATTATGAATATTATGATGAAGCTAAACCTGATTCTCCCTTCGTTAATCCTCATGATCCTACACATAGACAGGTTAGTTAATCCTCATGATCCTAAACATAGACAGGTTCGTTAATCCTCATGATCCTACACATAGACAGGTTCGTTAATCCTCATAATCCTACACATAGACAGGTTCATTAATCCTCATGATCCTAAACATAGACAGGTTCGTTAATGTTATTATTATTATTATTATTATTATTATTATATATTATCTAGGAGTTCCTGTTAGCTGGTGACCTAGCCGGTCATCTTGCTCAGAGAACTTTTACAACACCTGCTCCTCTTGTTCTTGGTGGAACTACTGAAGAACCTGTTCACAGGTAGGCAGACAGAGTTCTTGTTATTCTTCGTGTTGTTCTTTTTATTCTTGTTCTTGTTCTTGTTGCACTTGTTGTTCTTGTTGTTATTTTTGTTCTTGTTGTTTTTGTAATTCATATTGTTCTTCTTGCAATTCATGATTTTAATTAATAGAAATTTTTTACGTTGTCGATTTTTAATTCCGCATTTTGGAGAAACAATGTAGGAAATTGTGAGAATTAAGAACATTAAATAAGACGATATTGTTCAACTAAAGGTTAAAAGGCTATCGTTGTAAATCGGGCAAGCCTCTCTGAAAATGAAGGGTCACTTAGATCTAATTTTATTTCAGATTTTTCCCCCCTGGTCAGATCAAGCTAGACAGATTCCCTGAAGGATTTAACTTCCAGTTCCAGTCACAGAAATAGACATTCCAGTCACAGAAATAGACATTCCAGTCACAGAAATAGATATTCCAGTCACAGAAATAGACATTCCAGTCACAGAAATAGACATTCCAGTCACAGAAATATACATTCCAGTCACAGAAGTAGACATTTTCAGTCCCAAAAGTAAACATTCAAGTCCCAGAAGTAAACATTCCAGTCCCAGAAATAGACAGTCCAGTCCCAGAAGTAAACATTCCAGTCCCAGAAATAGACATTTTCAGTCCCAAAAGTAAACATTCCAGTCCCAGAAGTAAACATTTCAGTCCCAGAAATAGACAGTTTCAGTCACAGAAATAGACAGTTCCAGTCACAGTAATAGACATTCCAGTCACAGAAATAGACATTCCAGTCCCAGAAATAGACATTCCAGTCACAGAAATAGACAGTTTCAGTCACAGAAATAGACAGTTCCAGTCACAGAAATAGACATTCCAGTCACAGAAATAGACAGTCCAAGCAATATTCAGTTCCAGTCCCAGAGGCTGAATCAGACAGTCCTTGACCCTGTGTTTTTGCTGAAAATTTATTATTTTCAAATTTGTATTTATTATTGAATAACGACGGTGCAATAATGATTATTTGATATCATTTTTCTTAATAAATCATTTAAATGATATAAAAAGACAGTTTTATGACTGTAAATTAACCTTATAAACACACCGGGGGTTAACTATAGCTTGTACGATTGTTCCTCTGGGAGTATGGTGTATAAAATAATTTAGGAACAAAAAACCCTTTATTTTTAAGGAGATTTAAATCGTGGCAACATTGTTTTTACAAAAAAAAAAAGACATTCGTTTTTCTTTTTTAGTTGATGTAAGTACATTGTACAGTGCATACGATTAGGATTGGAAGAGATCACACAAGGGATAATCATCTGATTACGGTCTTTTTTTCTTCATGATAACAATATAATTTTCGTTAACGAAGTTTTCGAAAATTAACTAAAAATCCGTTAAAAAACGGCAAAACTCGTCAATTTTTAGATTGTTAACAAAACAGAATAGCCGTCTATGAAGAAAAAAATTAACGGTTGAAAACGAAAACGAAAGTACGTTCGTTCTTTTTTTCTGCTAAAATTACGTGAAAAAAAATGTTCTAAATATTTTAATGTTTTAAATGTCGTTTGGAAATTTCTTTGGCAGCCCGTTAACGCGATTAATATTACAAACAAGACCGTTCCTGAACGGCTAATGCCATTAATTGAAGACAAAAACGTTAACGCCGTTAATAAAATTGAGATCGTTACCGGTAACTTTAAAAACAATGGAAAATACCGTTAACAAAGATCGTAAGTTCCGATCTTACCTTTAAAACTAACGGAGCTACCTAAAATTATCTCTGAACGGTTGGAACTAATCCTTAACGAAATTGCGAGAAAAAGTTTAAACGTGCCAATTGCCCTATTTATAATACAGGAAAAAATGGGTATCAAATAAAATTCAAGCTTAAAATTAGGTTGAATAAATGATGTATCTTCATATATGCTAGAGTTTAAACGCTACACAATAGTCTTTCATTAATTTATTAATTTATTTGTTTTCATTAATTTATTTATTAATTTTCATTGATTTATGAAAAATAATTTTAGATTCAAACAGTTTAATTTCAACATTTCTAGTTCAAAGTTTTGTAGAAAACAGTCCTAAATTACATATTATCAATATATTTCGAGTTCAAAGTTTTGTAGAAAACAGTCCTAAATTACATACAGGGTGTCCCACGAAACATGACAGTTGGTAACTAGTTTTNGTTTAAAGTTTTGTAGAAAATAGTCCTAAATTACATATTATCAATATATTTCTATCATAAGAAAACATAAAATTAGTTTTTGATGTAAAATTAGATTAGCAGAGGCAAGAAATTTAGCTTGAAGAATATGGGTTTTGTATGCGAGTTAGATAGATATATAGATATATAGATATATATAGATAAATTTATTATATTTTAGCATGGAAGATAGTTTTTATAGTTTGCTTTTGTTTACAAATCAAGTTTAGATTTTTGCTCCTTGTACAATGATATAGAAAGGAAGACAATAAATAACTTAAATTCTGACCTTAGATAAATTGAATTTTAAGTTAAGTTAAGGGTTTTTGAAAGTAAAATATACGTGAATATAAGTTTCAAATATCAAAATAATCAAATAAAGTGAAGAGACAAATCTGTTTTGAGTTTAAAGAACGATAAAATAGAGTAAAAAGGCCTAAATTTGGATAGAAATCTAAAATCAGTCTGAGCGCTTAAAAGAGGGGCGCGAAAAGTTCTGAATTTCGATTTTATTTAGTAATTTTCTAGTTTAAAGCTTTTCTTTATCAATTTGTATTATCCTCCTATATTCAGCTACGCTTCTGTAAACTATTGATAATAATTTCAATTTAAAATCCAGAATATAATTTATGTTTCAAACAAAATATTGAGGAGTAAATTTATTCTGTTAGAAATACAACAGATGCAACCTAACTTTACAACCCCCCTCCCCGTTCTCAATCCCTTCATCCCATTACTTCCCCCCATTTCCCCTCCAACCTGTTGAGTCCCCTTCACTTTCCTCAATCCCCGTTTCCCCCATGCATCTTTTCCTTACTCCTCATTCTTTTCTTTTCTCTCCTTTCCTTTACACCTACCGTCCTTTTTTCTTTTCTCCTATACTTCCCCCCTTCCCCAACTTTCCTCATATACTTCCCCCCTTCCCCATCTTTCCTCCTATACTTCCCCCCTCCCCATCTTTGCCCTTTCTATTACCCCCCCCATCCCCTTTTCTCTTCTCTTATTCTGTATATATTGAATATTTCCCCTCGGATCGAATGTTTTATTTAAAATGTTGAAATAAAGTTTTTGCTCAAACTTTATCCTGCCACAAACTTTGCTTAGCTAATCAGTTAATCAATCAATCAACCAATCAATCAATCATTTAGATAATAACTAAAAGAATTGAGTCTTTGCTACAAACTCAAATTTTAATCCCTATATCTTTGCAATGTACACCCTTGATGTTTCGACAATCTTTTGTTTATTGGAACATAAACTAAGATTTAAAAAAAACATTTCAAAATCCTAAATTTGAAAACACCGAATTTTAACTTTCGAAACAACTCTTTATAAAAGAAGATCATAATTCGTAATGCACAAACTCTGAAGGAAAAAACAAGGAAAAAATGGAAAACCTTATACTTTCTTTGAAACATGCAGCTGAAATATTGAAAATGGCCACGTATATTTTTTAAGTACCCCTTCCCCCTCCTTTCTTACAGAATTAAATATAGAAAAAATATACAAAAGGTATTATTTCCCGCTCCAGCTACACGGTTTAATATATAAATGATTATCATAATTTGTCATTTTTCTTAGAATAATAATATCCTTTTAGTTGTAACCTGAGCTGGAAACTGTTAAATAACCGAAGTCCGAATTTTATCGATTTGAGTCGCGTCTCAAACCTGCCAAAAAACTGGTTTCAATTGAGTGCCGGCTTAAATCTTGAAATATTTACAATTTTAAGTGGAACCAATTCCATATTTGATCCGCGTCTCAAATTTAAGCCGCGGCTCAAATTCTTCAAATTCGGCCTCGAATTAGTTAAACTAAGTGTGCTTATAAATCAGTACACCGCACTGCTTGGGTCAATTTTACCGTGGAGTAAATTTATCTTATTTATTACTTATTTCACAATGCTAGACCCCGAACACAAATTGAGCCAGGTCGGTTAAACCTTTTTCGATGTTTATATTTTTGTTTTGGAGAACTAAAGGGACTGTCCTTGTCATTTCAAATAGTATTGTCGTTTTTTTTAACTTAAAGGGTTCAAATCTCACAATTCCCTCCATTGTTTCTGTATAGAAAGAAATTCGCAAGTCACTCTGTTTAGAGAAAGATCACACCCTCAACTAAGGTTTCGGTGCGTTCTGCAGTAATTTAGAGTATACTGACAGAAGAAATAGTAGAGTTAGGTGGAGAGTGATAACAATTGAGATTGAGATTTTCATTCATTCTTGATCATACACAACTATTAAGGGTTAGTTGTGAATCGGACATATCACTCTATAAATGGAGGGTCACTTGAATAACGTTTACAGTCCCTTTAAAAGGTTTCCATGATATTAGTTAAATGTGAAATATCTCGGCTCGTGTTTTATATTTACATAAAGTCCTCATTTAGACCTTATACAATTTCAAGAATTAATATCTAATAGTTTATATCCTCTCCTCCTCCAGTTTCCCCCATCCCCTAACTACCAATGGTGTAACCCCCTATACCCCCTTCCCCCCCTAACTACCGATGGTATAAACCCTTACACCCCCTTCCCCCACCAACAAAAACAATGTACTCCACAGAAAACGGCGTTCTTCGGTATAACATTGAATGTTCATACATAATGGAATAAGTTGGAAAATAACTTCTTTGTAACTTCTACATTCACATCATCAGGTTCAGAGATAATGTAATATTAGTTTCTATAAAGCAGGGGGAGGGGGGGGGGTCAAAATTTCGGAATCCCAGGGACCGAATTCAATGAATTTGAGCTATGTCGCGGAACTATTTACTACACAGAGATTCAGCCTGCTTTGAACTGCTGCATCAATTTTCAAAACAGCTGGTCGATTTGGAAGTGTCGCAAAGCGTTGGGTTTTGGTTTTTACCGCTCTATTTCTCGGTACATTTTAGAACTATAAAAGAACTTGTTTTTAGCTGTAGTCTTAAAGAAGTAATGGACAAAATTCTCATCTAATATTTTCCTGGAGATCTTTCGATTCCTTTAAGTTACAATAACCATGCGAGATGGTTCTATTTCTGAATAACCGATTCAAAGCTAAAAATTCATGAGGACTTGAATTGGTGATTCAGGATTTGAACCGGCTAGTTGAACAACCTCTCCAATTAATTAAATTCAGTTTCAGCAGAACTATTCGAAAAAATGGATAATACCCAAATTTTTCGAATTAGGAATACACCTGGGTCTTTTCTACTGATAAACGATGGTTCTGTTCCTCAGAACGATCTAAACTTTATGCGATACTAAAGTCATGGATTAGTTAAATTTTACATGAATTTTTGTATGTTTGGTTAAAAAAATCCGCAAAATTACGTTATTCATCTTCTTGATTCAATTTTATCTGGATCTGAAACCCAAAGGAGAACATGATATAGTTAATGTCCCCTTGTTGAGCCTATGTAATATGTACTGTACTGTAAAATTTCCTATGAAGTACACTGCACAATTAAACATGACCCATCTATATAATTACTTTATCTAAGAGAGTAGAACTACTTTATTGTCATTATCTTGTCATAATTAGATTAATATGCATCGCAATTAAGAATTTAATTAAAGTGTCGCAACTTTTGAAAGAAAGTCAAATTCATTAGTTAATACTTGAAACAGTTAGTTCTTGAGTATGATATTCATTAGCAAGTAAATATATAAATATCATCTCAAGATAAAATTAAATCCTCAAAGAGAATAATATGGATTGTGGATGCTAGGATAGGATACTATGGATTGTGGATGCTAGGATAGGATACTATGGATTGTGGATGCTAGGATAGGATACTATGGATTGTGGATGCTAGGATAGG